GCCTGTGGCAACAAAAATCACTAACCAATCAACGTGCTCGAAGCAGTTGAAGTGATAGCCAATCATGTGTAAAATGTGGAAAAAGGTATTTTCGACTATTTGTGTGTGTACGAAACGGTAAATATTAGAAGATTAAACATTTAGCCAACCAGGATGCTCTTTTGACGTATAAACGTGGAGAGTTCTCTGTCACATACCCCTTGCGCGCGTGGGCTGCCACCTTTCCGTTTGCTTCACAACGGCTAACCTTCCTGATGCGTCTACTGAAAACCAAATTAGTAGTATCGGATGAAATTGATTAGCCTCGTTTTTTGTGCGATATTCGGTAGAGGAATACTATAGTTGTTTAAAATCATGACAATCTGCTCGAAAATGCTCCGCGTATGCAGATCATTAAAGAAGCCAATGGGCTGTCCAGAATCACACCACGTTTGATTGGCTGATTTTTTACAGTATCAGACAAGAATAAGAACACGTCTAGCCAATGAACAGTTGTCTTAAACTTCATCCTTCCATGCTTTGAGTGAGTTAGATACTCAAGAGAACACTTGACCTGCGACCTCTACGTGAACGTACTAACAGACATCTCAAACCATTTTAAGAACCCGCCACTTACACAGATCTGATTGGCAGAAATTTTGAAAGTTCTCATGTGTTGAGGTCATGGATAATGGTTACTTCCTAATTCCATCTGCCAAGAGCTGTCTTTACAAATAGTTAAGTAACCAACATCTTCACTTTAAATTGACCTATCGTGAATTAGTGGTTCGAAAAATAAACTCGACTGACCAATCATCTACCAGTAAATTAGACAGCCAATGAATGACGCAGACAAGTTTTCTAAATACAACATCTACTGAATGAAAATCAAATAAATAATTGCAAAACAAAATCGAGTTACAAAAAAAATGACAAAATGAAATATAAGTCGAAACTAATAACTGAAATGTTGGCAACGGCCGTGTCTTCGGGTGAATGAAAGGATTCTTTCAAGAGCCATCAATCGTTGAAGGTAATCTACGCTAGCTGATGCCTCCAAACCCAATAGCATGCAATCTGACGGGAGTATAGAGGTAGTATTGACACTGGCGTCACCCACAGTGCCCCCCACATCCTCCGCCTCAGACTCAGTCGACAATTGTCGTCTGTGATTGTTTTGTCCCATGTCTACGGTGGAACATTTCTTGACTAACTCATCGATGTCCACGCGTATTGTCCGAAATCCATCAGCTGTTGAGTCGTCGTCATTGTGCCGCCTGAACCTGGCCGACATGGTGAAGCATCGTTGGGCTCCGACGACGTGAGAGTCCTCCTCGTTCCTTACAACGGCGTTTCGTGAAGATAGGCGTGTAGGCCGTGGAATGTGATTGGCTGCCTCCTGATGCAGACTTTGGTGGTCTCGCGAATGATGACCTTGTGGTTTATCGGTTACTATGGAATCCGTGCTACACACGCATCGACTGGGTGCATTCAACGACTCGCGAGTGATTCCAGCACGACCACTTGGACGATCTGATTGAGTCTGAAGCGCATCTTCGTTGCAGTGGTCCTCGTCGGATTCTTTCAAGCACGATGATGGTCTGCACCCCTTCCATGGAATGTGTGGACATCTGATTGCATTAGTGAATGCCTCGCAGTCGCCATCGTAGCTGGACGTAGATGACATGTGCGTCTGCTTGCACTGACTAGCTATTCCAATGTAGAGGATTCGAGGATTCCCTGTGGAGGAACATGATCCAGAGCCCTCAGACGATTCGCTGCTCTGTCTAGTTGGCGATATGTCCGCGTTGCTGTGTCGTGGATCTGGTGACTGGATGGCCTTCGACGCTATCTCTGGACATTTGGAACCGGTTATCAAGGGCTGGTTGCATTGGCACATTTTAGACATCATTGGAAGGAGTGATTGGCATGCGAAATCCTGTAATTCCACGTTACAGCACTGCTCCTGTGGCAGCTCCGTCGTGGATGTTGCAACTGACAAGAAACCGGTAGCTCTCGGCTGTGTTGTTCTCCTCATATCGGTGGAATGAATTGACGTGGATGATACTGCTGTGTTGGCGCCATACCTGAGGCTGCCTTTTACGGAGTTTTCACAAAATGGATCGAAATTACTGGGATGCGTCGATTTGGAAGCCTGACAAATGGACCTTGAACTCGGCCTGGTCTCGCTGCCCTGGCGCGAGTTTCTCTCCGTCTGAAAAACCTCACGCGACTTGTTCAAGACTTGAGATTCCTTGAAAGCACCAGGCGCACTGACGATACTTGGTTGGCTGGGTGGAGGTTTGTCAGGAAGGCAACAGCAGTCCAGCAGCAGCTGACAGCAGGCATCGACTTTCCTGGGGTCTTCTTGAGTAGCGGTTTCTGAGTTGTCTGAGTTGACGGGGCTGTCAGGCTCGCTGGGAGGCTGCAAACTACCCCCCTCCTGAACGCCAACAGACATCGTTTCGACGGGGTCGCACTTCTGTGACATGCTCATTAGACGCAACATTTTTGGGGGCCTCCCCTTGCAATATGCATCCAACCAATTAGAGCTGCAGGAAGATCGTGATTGGGCGTGCATATCAAAAGCGTTGATGTGACTTTCACGCGCAACAACCCCTGCCATCTGCAGCTCGCTGCACCTAGGTGGACTCACTTGACGCTGTCCAACATTGACGCAGCACTCGGGAACCGTTCGACGTGGCTCCTGGCTTGTTTTATACGGCTGTGACGCGTCAAGAATGGACGTGTCTGCAGGCGAGACCGTGCCCCTACTGACAACCTCGGATTCCGGAATCACTGAGGGCTGTGAAGTGCTCTCTGGCAGACTCACGTCTAGCAAGCCTTCTTGCGGCGAAGGCTTTGGCTGAATGCGTTTCCTGGGCGACGGAAAACAGCAGTTCATTTTGCCCTTCAAGAACTTGCCACGTGGCTCCTCCTGCGACTGCGACTCCGAAGACAGACTCATGGGCGGCGTGATTGGTTGAAAACAGGCCAATGAGTACGAACCCAGTGGGGAGTACTTGCAGCCCTTGAATAGCTGCGTGCTGTCCAATTGGTCACTGTCTTCTAAACACCGCGCACACTGGCATGTCCTGCGTCGGACTGGCTGGTAGGGATCGAAGTTTCCGCTGATCATTGTTTCCGGAGAGGGTTCAAACGGAAACATGGGAAACGGTGAGGGACAAAACGGCGCTCCAGCTTCGTGAAAATATCCCGATGCTGCGTATGCTTCCACGGCTTGAAGAGCCATTAAAAGCTCAGCAGGCGGCGTCGAAATGCACATCTTCTGGGCGTCAATACTGCTACTGTGTCGATTGTTTGACTGGCTCTGGCCTTTTCTGTGGGTGCTGATAGAGAAAGTGGAGGAATTGCTGGATTTCGTTCGAGTTGGACGGGCAAACACCGGTTCCAGGGAGTACTGGATGGTCTTCTTGGTGAGAACCCGAGGTTCCGCAGAGACGTGGCTGGTTTGGATGCCAACTCGATCGCCCCAGTTCACGGCCTTGAGACTACCAGAATCCCGACTTAGGATTGGTTTCTCTGCGTGCACTAGGGTCGCAGCATTTTTCACCATCTCATCTGACGTATTGGCAATGCCCGACGTGGTCAAGTCTCCATGAACGCTCGCCGTGTGGAGGCCCATGGAATGTCGCTCAGATATGGTATTGTCGCCATTCACGACCTTGACGCCGGGCACGACCTCGCAGCTAAGGGAACTCTTCACTAGGAAATCCAGTTCACATCCGCGTGGTTGGCACACCTCAATCTCAGTCGCCGAGCTCGGTGTATAACAGAAATCTATATCGATTTCTTCGCAGTCGTGAGTCTTGTCGAACGGATTGGGCGGGAGGGCAAGCGATGTGGAACTACTGCTGGTACTAAGGCAATTGTCGTCTTTACCTGGGAGTTGGTAAATTTCAATTGATTCTTCATTTTCGGGAATGGAGCCCATGGAAAAACGGGTTTCCATGTGGGCGGGTCTAGCTGCTGCCATGTTGCCTGGCAAACTGCAGAAGTTGAGCTGTGATTCTTCCTGTTGCATTGGTGGCATTGATTGCTAACCCAGGGGAACTGTGTGAATCGAGGTTAGTAAAGTTGAGTTGGCGTCATTTTTACACTTTTCCATAATCTCAGAAACGAAAGTGGTCAATTTTCGTGGGTCACTTGTGCGGTTGAACACTGCACACATGCATGCCGCTGCCCTGGGATTTTTTGCAATGGGTTTTATCGATTTCTTGTTTGACGACACGTGGAGTAGCAAGTCACGTGACACGCACGCATCTTATGGTGTGGCGCGTGAAGAGGATGCACCAAAAACTAAACCAATCACAAGCGTTGATGATCACCGTGGCTACGTGAGATGTCTTCAAGTGTATTCTGACAAATTCCACGAAATGACACATGACGCTTCGTGTCAAAAAGCGACTTTGTGCTTTGTTTAAACAAAATACAATTTTTTTCAGAAGCAAATTTAAAAAGAAACCGCTACCAATCAGAGACATTAGTAGGTGTGTGTCTAAGTCCCTGTACGTCTATACCACAAAATTTTCGTTGTTTTTGACATTAAAACATTAACGTAAAACATTCTAGTTCTCTATTTGGTTAATGCCAGACAATCCAAGCAGTCAGTGTACAACCTTGGCTGAATTTACTATTGTACGTCATTTTGACTGCCTTAACTATGCCTTTCTACGTTAATTGGTCAAAATCTGTGCACATTTCTTTAAAATAATCACAAATTTGACAGAATATCGATGTTTAACATCCACGCTTTTTAAAGACCAAACCCCATGTCGATATTAGCTAAAAAATGGGGTCCACGGTAATTATTCTAGTTTGGCTTCCATCCGTCTATGCATTCTATCTGTCAACAACGTGGGTACTATCATTCTGATTGGTCGGACAACCAACAATGAAAACGCCGCGTTCTGATTGGTCAACGGTGCTTGAGCGTGTGGGTTAGTCGAATCGAGAAAGTTCCTCGTTGCCTTGAGATACCTTTTCCGATTTCATTGTTCTTTCTCAAGGTCAACTTTATCTGGTTTCAACAGTCCTCAATTTTAGCAGGTAGGTTGCTTTGTTTTGTTCTTTCCTGAGTGTTTAAATCAAGAGAAAATTAAAATTAAATTAAAGAATCCGTGTACAACTACAATTGCTACAACACACAAAACCTGTAACTGTTTTGTATCTGGCGTCAAACAACACAAACACCCTCACTAACACGCATTGGTCACTATTGGTTGCTAGGGCAACGAGCGACGCAGTTTCACTCGTGAACGTGGGATGGCAAAGCGCTGATACGACTCCGTGCTAACTTGACCGGTATTTCCCAATTAAAGAGTTCCCCACACTGTGGTAAGCTGTTGATTATTGTAATGTTCTGTTATTTTCTCCTAATTCATTTGATTGGCGCAGTTAAATTCATGTAATTCGATTTAATTTCGCACTTAATGAGGAAATGGATACTGTTCGTTTTTGATACAGTAAATAACCCAGACACTCCGGTTTTACGTCAGTTTTACGTCAATACATTTGGCCAATAAGAACAAAGGCACGTGATCTCATGTTCTAGACTGTCGTAGAGGGAAACCCATTAATTTGAGCAGTTAAAAATCTAGTGAGAAATCAAGCAAGTACTTTTGAAAATGTCTTTGCATATTTCAGGATTAACTAAACATGGCGGCACATGAGCTAATATTTCCTGGTCATCTGACGCCCCCTGATATTCCGGCGTACCAGCAGTTTTCCAGCCAATTAGCGAACCCCCTCATGTCCACCAATCGATGTCGACGACCACGAAAGGCCGCTCGACTCCTATTGGACGGTGTTGATGGTCGCCTCAATCCAGAGGCTTACTACTACAAGTCAAAATCTGCCAGCAGACGAGAAAAGACGCAAGCTGGACAAGGAATTGACAACGCCTCCCTTCGTCTTTACCCTGCCCTCAACCGTGGTGATCTTGAAGTAGCAGTAAGTGTTGGTCCAATCGCATACGGTTGTTTAGGGGTGGCGTGGAGCCGAAAGGCCGGGCGAAGAGTGGCCCCCGTCCTACCTTTTTTCGTCCTCTGGGGCGGGACTTGCAAATTCCCCCGGACTGAGTCAACAAGCTCATTTTGCCTTCTTAAAGAGCGGAATGTATTCTGGTGACCAACTGCCACCCCTCGTTCCAGTGGTTCAGCGGATCTCACTTCAGCCGAAGGAGGTTCTGCGTAGCCGACTTGTTCTAACCCCCTGTCCGACGACGTGGTCTATGGCGAGGCACGACGTCGACATGCTGCTCTCCGGCGCCATCTCTTGGAAAGACGTCTACGCCACGGTCAGAGGGCAGGCAGTACGCGAAGAAGAAATCGGATCGTTCAATCGTCTTTCTCTGATGCAAAAACACGTAAGTGTGTGACTCATTCAGCCCCCCCTCTAACCCTCTTTAGACCCTCTTCTTCGGCGCCTCACGACTGGGGTTCCTGTGTGCGGTAATGCACCCCCGTGGGAAGCAGATCGATGGCAGTAGCCTGGGTCAGACAGACTCAGCCGTCAGCAGGAGTCGGCTTGATGGTAGCAGCCTCGACACACCGGATCTGATCGATCGATGGGGTGTGGCTCGGAACATGAGTGGACCCTTCTGGCCGGTCGGTCTGGGACCCCTTGGTCCTCCTCCGCAACTTCGGGACAGTGGAACTAACATGGAAGGACCCAAGGCTCGGTGTGTGCGAGAGAAGACGCTTTTAAGACTGTCGAATCTCTTCACCGCAAATCCGAACCAACAGACAGAGGCGTCACCGACGACCTTCAGGCGACCAATCGTCGTCTACGATATGAACACAAGCCCCCCGCTTTCGGTGCGGCTCCAACGCGATTCGCTGAATCCAGATGGCAGTGACGCCTTGTTGTTTGAGTCGCGATTTGAGTCGGGAAATCTGCAACAGGCCCGACGGGTGTAGGCTGATCGATATTTTATTGATTTTAACTTCTATGCAGCATCTGTAGATCTGTGACAGTGCTGGTATCTCTTTCAGGGGACCCTACGAGTATGACCTTGTAATGATTCCTGACCTTGTCACCCAACGACACACCCAGTGGTACTTCTTTGAGGTGGCTGGTGCTCGATCCGGTGTGGAGTACACCTTCAAGGTCGTCAATTTTCTCAAACCAATGAGCCTCTACAAACAAGGTGAGTCATGCTCGACACCCCTAAAGGGTCGCTACACTTCCGCTCCTACTTTCTGTTCCTCATTCTTGATCCCTGTAGGCATGAAACCGCTGTTTTATTCTGAGAAGTTGGCAGCAAGAACGGGAAATGGCTGGATGAGAATTGGAACAGATATAAGGTGAACGAAGCGAGCATGCCATTGGTAGATTTGTTTAGACGTTGTGATGAGCAACGTTATTGTGTAATGCGTACTAATATTAAATCAGTAGCATTCATTATTAGTTTAGATTGCTGAGACTATGGGAATTTAAGAGCTCACCTGTCGCGACCAATCAAAAGTACTCTTTTGGAAGATTTGATTGGACAACTTAACGGCCTGTGAAAACAAATCTGGATAGAATGTTCATTTACTTTTAAAGACACAAAATCAAACCCAATCATTTCAATTAATTGTTTTGATTTTACTTTGAAAATTGAAGCTACACAAAGAACAACACATCCGACAGCCACCCTCTCCTGAAAAAGGACATCGTCTATTACGAACTAAAGTGGAAAATGGTAGGTTCATTGATGTTTAAATTACCACTACTAGGTATTTCCGTTTGATGATGATAGGTGCGTAATTGCACACAGCTATCCGTACACCTTCACGGACTTGAAGGCGGACATTCGTGGAGTGCTCCAGAGGGCAGGTGACTACGTCAAGTGCGAAAAATTGTGCACATCCTTCGCTGGAAACGCCTGCTTCGTCATCACGATTACCGATCCAGGTGACAAAATAACATGTCTACTTAATTTTTTATGAGTAATCGTAGCATTTTAGGTAATATTTCCGTGCTCTTTAGCTGTTGCGGATGAGAGCAAGTACGCCTCGGTGTTGACCGCTCGTATTCACCCAGGTGAGACGGTTGGTTCCTGGAACATGAAGGGTTTGATGGAGTTTCTGTCGCATCCACGAAATGAAAGAGCCAAGGAGCTGAGACGTCGGTTTGTCTTCAAACTCGTACCCATGCTGAATGCCGATGGAGTGATTGTGGGCAACTACAGGTACGGTGGTTTTGCTGATAGAATCTGATTGGTTGCCGCTGACTAATGTTTCTATTGGCTCTGAAGGTGTTCTCTTTTTGGAAAAGATGTGAACCGCACGTACATCGAGCCGAGCGAAGACTGCTTTCCTGAAGCATTCCACGTCAAAAAACTGGTCCAAGAATGCAAATCGAGATACAAGGTCTGTTCAAGCTTTAATTATTCAAACTAAAATGCATCGATTTTCGATAAATCAATAATGAGCACTCTGTTCCTACAGGATACCGTTTTCTGTGACTTTCATGGTCACAGCCGAGCCTTCAACTCCTTCATCTACGGCACAGATTCCGGTTATCGATCGAAATCGGCTGATCAGACAACACGTCCACCTAAAACGTATCTCACAAACCCAGAGAAGTACTTGGTCGATAGGATGGTCCCCTTTCTGATGAGTAGACAGGTATTATTTTATGCTCAATCAACAAGCTCCTGGCTGTATCGACTTCTTTGCACGTTCAACTACTGATAACATTTAGGTAGTTACATTGTTTCAATTTTTCTGCGAATAAGTAGTCATCCCGTTTTCCATCAATCTACTTGGAGTCAATGTTGTATACAGCCAATCACATAAGTGCGTAATATCATTGGCGAGTTTCAGAAAACGGACTTGTTCATTGGTTAGAAAACTGCACTTTTGTATTTAGGATCCCGGAAGGTTCTCGTTCAGGAGTTGTCGCTTCACTCTTCAACCAGAAAGAGAAGGATGCGCCAGAATAGCACTCTGGAAACAGTTTAAGCTGACGCATTGCTTCACCATGGAGACGTCCTTGTGTGGAACCAATCTGGAAGGGTAAGGTGATTCTGAATCTCGTCAGTTTCATTTGTAGGCCGAAGTTGCGTCATTTCGATCAGGGAGATTTACAAGCCCTGGGTCAGAAGTTTGCCAACGCTCTGCTGGAATTTCATAAAATTCAGAGTGACAACAGGTAGATGAATTTTTCCTCTAAAATTCCGTCCTTTTTTAAAAGGAAATTGTCTGAAACACTGACAGAAATGGGCAAGGCGATGTTGCAGGAGATTATGCTCACACGAATACTGCCCAGAAAATCACGCCAGCCAAGTGCGTGTGTTTTAAATAACCTCGAATTACTTACTACTGAATTATATTAAGTACGCGTTATTTGTGTAGGTGAAGAAAGAAGGGTTCAAAAATTGGTTTCATCAATTGAGAATATCGATGACTTCGCAAGTGCCTTTGGCGAAATCGGCGATTATCTAGTGGAGACGGAGGATCAGGATAGCAGCACGTAGGGTTTTGTTTGTACACCTAATGCCCCCTTGCAGTGCCTCTGAATCGAGTTCTGACAACGAAACAGAGCCACAGGTGATGAAAGATGTGCTTGATGACAACAAAATTCTGGGAAAAATAGAAACAACTCGTGAACGCAAGAGTGATTCCGAAAGTAGACGCAAAAGACGAAGTCGTCGAAATCGGAAAAAGCGGAATCGAAGAAAGAGGCGTCGCCGACGACGACGACGTCAGTATCGATTTTCGTGGCAAAATCCAATCAAAAAGGTACAGCCTTATAAGTCAGTGAACCTAACATGATTTGGAGTCTGACGTTTACAGGATTAGCAATCAAGCACTACTGAAGTGTAGTAAATAGTATGACAATCTCAAAATGAGTTGACGGGAAAAAATCGATTCCTGACCTGGGCTCTCCAGACTTGCTTGCCATGCGCACGCCCTCCCTACTGAAATTCTAATTAGTAGTAGATATGTCGATTGTGGCTGTCCGGGGATAGCGACAACTTTGACTGGCTGACTTAATTTAAACGAAATTCGGTCTTTGTTCGAATTTTGTTTAAATGGTTCGTAATTGTCCTGTGGGCGTCATACAAAAGTTGGTATTGGCAAAGACAACGTCCATGTGAGATGCAATCAAGGTCGTTCACAAATGCTTATTCGATTCCTTTGAGTACAATTAACGAATCAATATTCGTTCGAACATTGATTTTCCGACGGTTATTTTTCAACTGACACCTTGGTGTGCCAAAAGACTGTGTCAGTTTGATTTCCTCCACGCTGTTGCCAATTTTAATTAAATACCGTAAACTTCAACAATTAACACCAATCCACCAATCAACGCCCGTCAACCACTACTATTTGATTTGACCAATGACAATTAAACCAGCGGGTTGTGCACGCAAATTGACGTAGTTTTGTATAAAGGGCTCGAAGAGCATGTTTTCACGATTTTTAACGTGTTTGGTATCTCCCCTTTGTAGCATTGTTCATAATTTTATCTGGTAAAAAGGCATCATCATTCTGAGGTTTGCAAAATTTGACGAAAGCGACGGTATAACACCACTTTCCAACTATGCACCAACGATATTCCCGATATGCAATCAGTGTGGTTGCTTGATTCTCTACAGCACCACTTCTAAATGCACTTTTTCGGAAATGGGCAGCAGCAATCTTTTGAGAATTTGAATGCATGATAATTGCTAGTGGTTATGTGTTTCCGCGTGGTTTATTGCACGCACTTTCGGGTGTACTACACCCCGAAATTGGTCGCAGTACCTTCATGTATCATGCCATGGATGAACATTGTTACGTGACAAAAATAAACGTGATCCACAACTGAAAATGCCTCATTTACTAAAGTACATTCATTGAAGTATATTCCATCATTTATGGAGTTCTTCAGTAAACAGCTGAAATGTAGGTAGACATCCTCACGGAAATTCAAGCCAAATCCAATGGTCATCTGGTAAAATTTGGAGCAGGGAAGACTTCGGTGGATTCTTGGAGCAGAAAATTTTCCGGAAAAATTATTGCCGAGGCAGGCTCTACAATCCCTGATAAAATTAAGAACATTTTACTAAATTTTTTAGGTTTGGCGAAGAAAACGATCGAAAGAATCGTATCCGGGCATAGTCGACAGCTACGCGGGTGTTTCAAGTAATGGAATTCCCCATTTTGTCGAAGACCGTGTCGCTGAGCGGATGGCCAAGGTATTCTCGTGAGGCTGGCTTGATCACACTATTTTTTCACAAATTTAGTCGAAAATGTTAAAAATAGCCATCGAAATTAGCGCTACTAACTTGGCTTCATTCGCATCAACGCGTAGCGCTAATCGTCACGACTAACGACCTTGACACACCCCACCAATCAGCACTCTGTATGGTGGAACGTGTGTGGGGTGTCTTGGCCAATGGAGACGTAGTCATCGATAGTGACAAACTACACACAGAAATCCGTGTTCACGTCACCTGTTGACCCACCTTCTATGGTAAACGATTTCATCCCATCCCGATGTAATCAATCCTGTCAATGATTTTGATTACATGGTTAAAAATTTAACCAATCAGAGTGCTCTGCAGTACCTTAAAAATGACTAGTTACGAGATCGTGTTGTCGAGGTCGTGGTGTCGTCACGCATTTTGAGCGCATATTTACAACAGCCAAACTTCTACGGTTGCCTTATTAACGCGACACATCGACTATTGTAGAGAGATGATTGGACGATCAGCAGTAGATACTAGAAGTAAGACAATTTACACTCTCGCTTGCTAATGCTAGATTCGACCATTTTGTCAGATATGTTATTAGTTTGGATTTTGTACAGACAAATCTTGCCCCAACTGACGCCGCTTACTTTTTTAGATGGGACTGTGCAACGATACGGCACTTCGACCAGCGTCGTTGGTGAATAAGGCCAGGCGAAAACAGTCGTTTCGATTGGCTCTCAAACTGCCTCAGCGTTCGCCATCTCTATTCGGCCTTGACGTGGCCCAAGGTCACGTCAGCTCGTGAAGCTGTCATTGGATCAGGGGGCAAATGTTTGCGACCAATGGGATTGCAACCACGGTTGCGTAATCTTTAGATAGCCACATTTGACGCATTGGTCTGAATACAATCTTACTGTTAATAATTTACGACCAGCTACTTTCTACTGGTAAAATAAGTAGTATTGAATTAAGATTAACTAATTTCAGAACGACATCTCATCCAGAGCCCATAATGACACTGGTTAGATCAAATGACATGCGGTTTATTGAATCTCACTCTACACGAATAATGCACAAGTAGAATCACAATTAAGAGTTCCAGATTTCGAAACTACGGCGAGTGTTGGTGTAGAATTAGCACTTGGAGTAGTAACTAAGGACTTCGTCAACGTCTTCGGCACTGCCCAGGATGGTTGGCGCGCGTTCGTGGATCTGCTGCGGTTGGATGTCCAAAATCGGCATTTTCCCAGTCGATGCCTTGCCACCGGCCTGTTCAACTAGGTACGCCATCGGAATGCACTCGTAGAGAAGACGAAGCTGAATGAAGGTAGAGATGGAGAGAGTAAACTAATTAACCCGACGTCAGACATTACGCGGACGCTTTAGACATGATGGCTGGATTCCAGGCTACAAGGATCAGGTGACGTCTGTGGAATCATTCGGCACATGACTTAATCTAAACAGTTTTTTTCCTCGGAATTAACAATGAAAATAGGTTTGCAATTTTTGTGGTTTTGTAAGAATCGGACGCAAGATTACAGAACACAGAACGACAGGTCAACGTGAGTAACATGATTACTCAGGATAAGAGTTTACGATGGAACACGGGGAATCAATTGGCATTTTCGTCGGTACCAACGTTGTGTCTTGTAGAACGTATTATCATTTCTGCAAACGCTTCAGATCTTAGTGACCAGCCGCAAAAGTTCGAAGACGCGGAATCGCAAGCTCTACTGGATGATGAATCAGCGAGAGCCAACAGCTCAGTTAGGCGTCACCCAAACACCTGTTTCTAGGCGTTTGCACGACCAAATGGGAAGAATCCAAAAACCTGGAAGTTACGTCCCCCCTCCTCCCAAACATGCGTTAACCGAAGACAACTTCCTTCACTGCGTGCCCGCTGGCAGCAAAAAATGACTTCTTGTGGAAAATCGAGATGGATGTTACGAGAATCTCAAACCTAAAACGTCTTGGGTTGATCGACGACAAAGCAGGAAATCAACATGAAGAAGAAAGGTCGCCTGTGTATCTGGTGGTGGGACTTGAAGGGTGTACTTTACCGCGAACTCCTGGAAACTGGTCGTCAGACGATGACTGCGCAACGCCACAATGGACAATTGAACATAATTGAGCGAAGAATTTGAGCAGAAAAGGCTATTTAGTGGGCAAGGAAGCAGGCAAGTCATACTGCTGCTGCGCAACAGCGCTCGATCTCACGACTCAAAAGACCCTCTTGAACTTGGGATGGCAAGTTCTGCCACACGCGACGCATTCACCAGACTTGGTCCCGTCCAAATGCCGTTTGTTTCGGTCGATGCGGCAGCAGCAGCACGCCTAACTGGACAACTAGTTCAAAACGGTGGACGATGTGCATAAATTCGTCGATGGTGACTTCATTCACGACATGATAGACGGTGCAATGTCATCGAAAGCCATGGAACATATTCCCAAGATTAAATTCTCTCTTACACATCCTTCTTATTAAAAAAAACAAATTCGACAGATTAACCGGAACAAATTGATACAAATACCAACCTTGCCAGACGGTGCATGACTCATCGACGGGTAGAGGAAGATGCCGCCGTAGACGAGGGTTCGGTGAACGTCCGCAACCATGGAGCCGATGTAGCGAGCCTGGTAGGGTTTTCCGGTCTAAAAAAGAGACCAAATTGGCATCGATCGGGTTTGTCGTCATAAGACGCCTCTAATCGAGCCAATGAGAGCGAAGATAGCGCGGTTTTGTTAACGATTTACATGTCTAGATGGTAAATAGAACATCAGCCAACCAACAAATGCTTGAACAGGTCGTGGAAACTTCACTCAACCTGCATCCATGAAAATTAAAATCCGTTGACGTGAACCAATCCGAAACAATCACCTTCTGTGTATGGTTTAACTATCCCGGCAAACCTCAGGCAATTAAAAAACGTGTAGAAAACGAATTGTTTATTGAAGCGCGTAAACTTTAAAACACAAAAACTGACCGAACTGGCGCCACGAGTCCATTAAGTTCACCTGTAGATACCATGTTTACAACCAACTTTCGTTCGGCAAAAATTAGTTTTGGAATAACCAGTTCAAATCGTGCATGTCGCTGCTAATGCAGTTTGACCAGATTAGTAAATAAGGCGGAGTACAGGATTTCACAAGATCCACCAATCGGTTTGTTGATTCCGGTGTGTCTGGGCGCGAACCAATCACAATTTACTCACTAAGGCCACGCCTTTACACACTGGTGAAACAGGTATCACGTGACGGCAACTAACTAAAACAAAGAACATCAACACAAGCAGGGGTGGGGTGGGTGCGGCAAAGCTGAATTTAGTCTAAGATTAGGTAAATGCCTCTTCCGATAATTCATGCGACAAAAACCGCGAGATTTAATTAGTAAGTATCCCGAATGCTGATTGGCCGGTGAGTCGGACTTCAAATAACCACTAACCTTGGGGAACTTTTTGTCGTGAATGTACTGCGTGATTGCCTTGTCCCAGTTCGAGGCGTATCCCTCGTTAATTGAAAAGATTTTCCCGCGCTTGGGAATTTTTATCATCGGTTGGGTAAGAATAAATTCTCCCAGACTCTAGAAGGCAGAAGCAAATGTTTAGGCATCCAGATCGTGTGGCATTTCTTCACGCAAAATTTTCCAACAAACTAGTCACGAATCCCTCGATAATGAAGAAGATATGAGTAAAAACTTTGGCGGTGGACTCGACTTCAAAGGTTACGGACTAGTTTGACTTGATCAGAATCAATAAAATCGATATGAAATAGGTCTGTGTCGAAAGTGACCCAAAGTGGCCTTGACAAGCGAGTAACCAATCAGCGTACGAAGTGGCGTTTAGGATCACTCAACAATGACTAGGATCATTTCTAATGAAAAAAATTTCAAACAACGAAGGCAACTTAGTAAAACGAAAAAAATGAAAACATGTTTCAAAAACAACGACAACGCGCCAAAACAACACCAGTCCACTTGCGCACGCTTGTTTCTGTCGATAACTGACAGAAACTGTTCATTAGTTAGTTCATTTTCTAAAGAATGAATGAAAATCTACTTTAAAAATAGCCTGGAATGAACAGAAAGCAAATTTGTTTTAATGCGGTTTAAGAATATGAGGTCAACTCAAAAATTGTTTACTTTAAAAACTATCGACGTATTTTTTTTCGAAAACGCCTGTTAAGTTTTAGGAAAACTGCTTAAGATGTACTCTGCTGTATCGAGAGTTATGAAGACATTAAAAGTTCGTGATGATCGGTTTAGTGAGGTAATGTTTAGCAAGTGCAAAACCGGTAAATGTTGTTTAAATTTTTACCTCTGATGCTACGCCACGCCCTACAAACCTTCGGATATTGTTGTCACAGGCGATTGAGAAGGCTGCAGCGTCGTTTACAGTGACAAGGTCACTGAAGGATTCAAATAACTTGCTGCGGTTTCACATGACCTTGTACTATCGCATCTCGTGACTACCTCGCATATTTAATTAGTTCATAATGACGCATTTTGCCTTCGGTCGCCTTTGATTCATGTACCGATTTCAGAGCTTCTAATCTTTGTTAGCAAAAGCTACGATTGGTAGAACATTTAGCACTCAAATTCTGTGTGTACACAGCAAAACAAGCCATACCCTGATGCTACATTGCCGAAAAGACAATAATCTCGCACAATTTACTAGGTGTGATACGTCCCTTTTGTAAGTTGTTAAGCCTGGTCGTGTTTCTTAGATTGCTTTCTGACCAACTTTCATTGGTTATTTAAAGTAAATGTCTGATCAATTTTCGTAAACCAAAATTGCAATCACAACAGCCAATTGCGTCATCTCGAAAAGAAAAGAATTATCACACGCGGTTTAAAGCCTATAGAACATGTAGTATGGACTAGCTCAAGTTTGAAAATATACTCAGTGCCGTCATGGTAATGCCATGAATTAAATTTGCTAACGTTAGAATTGAAAACGTACGGGATCAAGTGTGAAGCCATAAACACCGGAACCAACAGACAGAACAATCATAGTGGAGCTGCCGTAGATGGCATAGCCGGCTGCCACAACGTTGCGTCCAGGTTGAAGTGCCTCTGAAGGATCAGCTATGCCCTTGTCATGTTTGCGCCGAAATATGGCAAAAATAGACCCAACTGAACCCAAGCAATCGATGTTAGAAGATCCATCCAGAGGGTCGAAGGCAACAATGTATTTTCCCTGAAATTACAAAATTCCTGAGTTATGTAAATGTGAACTAATCCTCACTGGAAAACGGAAGTATTTAACAAACCTGTTGTTTAGGATCGACGACAACGACCTCTTCATTTTCCTCGGAGATCAGCAGACACGTTGTGTAAGATGAAATCATCATGTTCACGAAAAGTTCATTTGAAATGACATCAAGTTTTTTTACTTCCTCGCCTTGAACGTTTGAATTACCGGTGAATCCAAAACTGCAGAAAAAATGGGGCATATTGGCTATGTATTATGTTAAATTTGTCAGGTTGTTTTGTTTTGTAATTACAGAATAAAAAAATGATGAGGGATTTTTCTTACAGTTGTGCGATACCAGCCTTGCGTACGGCGTTAGAGATGGCCTTGACGGCCGTCTGAATGCCGTTCATTAATTGAGTCAATTCGCCCGAAGCTTCAGGATACTTTGTCTGCTCATGGATGATGAACCGAGTCAATGTCATGCAATTAGTGTCAACTTCGTGTTGCGACATTTTGCTAAAAAACAAACACAATATACATTTACAGAAAAGCATTTGTTTCTACATACCAACACAAGGAATTATTTGACTAAGCCAGGTTACTCACAACCGTATAACTGAATAAAATGTAATCCATACATAGTAGTACTTGGTTTCACCAAACATTGATAAGACTACAAATTAAAAGAGTCGTGGAAAACAATTTACGTCATTGTGTTTTGAGTTAGAACATATAACGGAATAATTCAAAAAATCGCGATTATATGTATGTAGGAACAAGTACCAACCATCATACAACACGGAAATGCGAAAATGTTTAGAACCACAAAAAATAGGATGCTGGTTACACATATCCTTGCTTACTATTGGCTTAGCAAAAATTAACAGCAGCTTTGAACCGGGTACCAGCAGATTCGGTGTCTGCGCTGTGACCTTAAATTGTTTATGAAATTGGTTTGATGTAACTAAACGCATTGTATTCAAGTTAGAATAATATTAATAACCCTACTTTTGCTGTTGCTGTTGCAATTCTTTTTTTTATTAAGGTAAATAATTGCATAAAGTGACTTTTTTATTTTAACATTTAGCTTTCAGTAGATTTTTTCATTCAAATGTATTTAATCGTAATATGTGGAGTTCTTTCTAAGAGACCGCATTTGTTTTTTTTAGCAACGCAAATCCTAACCTATCATTAATCACAATTGTAAAAGCATACCATTCACATATATGGTAAGGTTTCAGTGGATTTAGATATGGCAGCATGATTTCGCTATCAAAAATCATTTATTAACTATGCCCATTTACGTATTTACGATCCATTATATATAAATAAATGCAAGAGTGGAGCAGATTTTAATTACGAAAATAAAATTGTCATTTGTGAAATTTTGTCAGCAACATAAAAAAATTAACATATCAACTTGTTCGACTACATGTGGTTCATGTGAAACAGAAAATTGGCCACATAGACTAAATTTTTTTTAAACTGAGACAATATGAAGTCCAGAATCTCTAAATGCGCCTATAGGGTACGGCCATCTAAGCCGTTTGACTTTCACTGTTTCATCCCTTCGGCACATTCCACTGTATGACGAAACATCACAAAGCATTGCGTGTGTTTTGTGGATGTGACCTTAGAGTTTATGCAGAATCCAAGAGTTTTCTGGTAATTGTATTTCAATATAACTTTATAGAACATCGTTTTTCACTTATAACGACTTTACGAGCTGCGATTGATAGGTGTCAGATTAGAACACGGCAAACAAGTTGCTTACACAATCAGACTTCCAGCGTTTTTTGGACGACATCATTTATTTATCATAAAAACTTGTTTTTTCGTTCGCTTTAAAAAAAAAAAAAATTTCCTGGATATTTCAATGTTTAAAGGCATATTATTCTTTGGGCAATTTGCAGGGTTATTTACATGCGCGAGATGCATTGCTAACAAAAAGAAATTTTATCAGCGAATACTTACACAATGCAAAAGTAGACAAATTATATGGCTAGGTACCACTCGAGATTTTTTAGGAGGTTTGTTTTAATTTTTGAAGTGTAGTTTTGTATTCGATTTATCAACAAGTCACTACAATTCCTTTCCACTAGTTACAAAACGTACGTACGAGTATTATTATTTTTTATTTTGTGGTGGAATCGACGATGGTATCGGCATGTTCTCCATGTCGTTCCAATTAAGATGTCATTGGGTATTCCTGTTTTATGAGACAGAGTTCGATGCCTCTCCTCGGGTACGGCCTTTAGAACTTGAAATTCGTCGCTGACTAGTGCAAAAACACATTTCTCATTTGAAGAAACACTACAGGTGTCGACACTCACAACCAATCATAAATGTTGACCGCAATTTCGCACAATGTCGTGGTTGGTGGTATGCTAATTGTTCACCACACTCAGTTGTCCCGTTTGCTAGACACAAGCACTGTCCAGTTTCTGGTTGTTGGTTTTGATCAGAGGTCGAGAAGTGTGCCACTGGTCGCCATCTCGGCATCCAATCAAACTGCAGAGATAAGGCGAAACCAGCAGGCATTGGTTGAGACCCAAACAATAATATCTAGTCAACCACTGCCATTTAACCTGTGTGCGCCTGCTATCGATCAATCTTTTCTTGATCAAATGCCCTTAGGATTTGCCTCAGTGAACACAAACACGTGACTCAATCTTCAAATCTGATTGGCTTGCAGTGCCCACATGAAGCTAATGACCATCGACTAAATAAAACGGAAAAATATCAGGGGTAATTGTGAGCTCCTTTGAAGATTAAAATGCTCCGTATTTCAATTGGTCGGAACATAGCTTGTCCCTTTTTGTGGGTAGAATTGCATGCTAAAGTAACATTTATTTAAACTGGGTTGAATCAGACACGAAATTGATGTTTTATCTCCAAGACACTTACAGTGTGAAATTCAAACCCTCGTGTTGATTGGAGGAATCGCAGAACATCGAAAGTCAGGCGATCAATAAATTTACAATTTGATTGAGGCCAATGCCTGTGGCGGTGTATCGATTGGTGAACCAATCAGCACCTGCCACCTGGCGCATTGTGATTGGGTGACAAATTTAAACGAGACAAAACCTGGTACGACAAAGGTCTTTCTTGTCAGTTGCCACTTCTTGATGCATCGCCTCGTGAGGTGTTGATAACGAGTAAAGGCGTTTCACCGATTGGGCAAGCGGAACGCAGTCAAATAGCAACCATAACCAATTCGAGGCCAGATCGATGTTGATTTGGTGAAAAATCAGAATAAACCTTGCCAATCACTTCACCTCAACTTACAGAAATTTTCAAACACCAACCTTGCTTGGTGACAAACGGTGCATGTTGTGTGGGCTGAGTTAAGACAGAAAATTAATTTTTTATCAACCGTACTTCAGAATGAATCGTTGGCTGACTGCTTAAGTATTCTGCGCATTCTCTAGATATTTGATTCGCTGTCACTTTAATTTATAAAGACAGCCACACAGCAGGGCATTTCACCTTTGACCTGGCCATGAGTAGTCCCTACACAGCTGAACCTAGTTGGGAATCAAACACGAACATAAGTTGACTCGTTGTGTAAGGACCCAATTGGCGGAGACAGGGGCGAAATTTGATTGGTCAACTAAGGCAAATCAGATTCTTCGCAGTGTGCACGAATTTTGGCCAGAGTTGGCCTCAGCCCTCCCTTCACTTGTAAACTGCTGTTCTACAGAATACTACAATTTGTTTGTGTGTAAACTACCAGTTTAGGAAGTCGCAATTTTCAAACTCATTGGCTGTATCGAGCTGATTCAGCGATAATTTAAACGGCAAGAAAGGTGATGGAATATGGAAATTGATTCCTCTTTTGGTGAAATCTCAGATTATTTGAATTATTCATATCAGGTGATCTTATTTGCCTGCTTCAAGTGACTTTGGCAACAAAAAAGCCTTATAGCACACTGGCAATCGGCATTAGCCAATTAACTTGAGGCGCGGCGATTCAAATGGGTGTACATGTAAGTTGCTAATGTGACATCAAAAGTATTTTCCGCAAATCACACCTTCCAAAGCATGCGAGGATGAATGGCGATTATGGTTTGGCCTGCAAGAGCAGCGGATTTTGGTGCTTGACTCTCACAAATATGCCTTTAAACACAAATTCGTACAGTCCCCAATGTGGCTCTTCCGTGGACTTATCTGCACAGATACACGATTTTACACTTTGTATCGGATTATCAGTGTGTGACTATTAACAGCAAGGACACGATGGTGGACATGAATTTAAAATAATCATCGTTTCCGCAAAATGCAGACGTTGGTGCGGTTGCCGCTAATTACGATTTTTAACTGAGAGGCTAAAAGTTCACTTTTTTGGATACCAATCTGACCTCGAATTTCCACACGAATTTGCAGTGTGATTTGACTTACCAGCTGGTGTCAGTTAGTGTCAGGTCAAATTGCTTGAAGGTTGCACAACTCCAACGGAAACCATTCAAAATAAACAAATAAACAGCAACTAACCGAAAATCAATCATAAAATCAATCGATCAAGTAAATTAATAATCCCAACGCAATGTGAAGCTGCTACATTCGAAGAGTTCAAAAAAAGTTTGCTTTCTACTAACTGAAACATTGATTGTGTAATCCAATCGTCGATTCCAGAAATCTAGAAAGTTGCTTAAATTTGTTGAAACAGTTTAAACATCTCTTCACGTGTGTCCAGCGCATTGATTTTATTAAATCAATGCATCTAATTAATGACCTTGAATCGCGTATCCAACACAAAACGTCGATGTCCTCGTCTTTAGTCTAACCCCCGTTTGAGTGTTGTTTAAAATCACCTCTATTAAACAACCATCAGCGCCCGATTGCCATTGGCAACACAGACTCTGCAGCGGAGGGCTGATAGTTTGGTTGGTGTTGTACAGGCGTGATTCATCGCCTCATTTTAATCAACTGCTTTGATAAACAACCCTGACTAGTCATTTCACTTTCACACAGTCCCCGAGAGAATTGAAGTTTAGCATTAAAGAGTCATCGACTTAGGCCAAGTGTTTAGACCGAATCGTTTCTTGACCTTGAAGCGTCTCCATGACAACCTTGTTACACCAAAAAGGTAATCGATTTTTAACAAACGATCGCCGGTTTTCTCATTGGTTACCGACATTGATTTAAACCCAGTGGGAAACAAAGGGGCCAGGGAGAAATTTGGGCTGTTTTGGCCAAGTCAGAAGACGTGAGTCAGACGGAAAGACATTTTGGCTGAAATTTTCTAGACAAGACATGCTTTTTCACACCAAGTCAATGTTAGAAGAGCATCACGTCGAATAAACATTGTGAATATTTTAAATAAATTGTGCGGATTTTCAGTGTGATTTGAGGTTGTGGGTGATCATACCAGCGATGAAATGCACGTCAACAATTTTGAATCGTTGGTGTGTGTGACTGGTACATCCAACCTGCAACCAAATGTCACAACAACGAGGTTCGGATTGAATGAGGCTTTTGATTGGATCAAATGTTTTAATTTTAAATCGATTTTCATCTATTTGAAAGCAAACGTAGGCAGAAGCCACCGCTGAAAGGCCGCCTAGTTCTCAAAACAATCAGAACTTCTGCTTCAATAATCTAGAAATCCCCGCTCTGCAGTTGGTTGGTTTGTTTAAAATTGAGCGGACTATGTGAGCCAATCACATAGCGTAACCAATATCCAGAGATTGGCTGCATGGTCATTAAACTGAGACTGGTAAACTAGGTTCTACACACAAGTCGAGCTAAACCGTAAGGCTTACTGACTCATTGAGCTAAAGTACGTACTCATCAACAACGCTGAAGTTGAGAGTTGTTATTCAGCTTTAAATTGTGGTAAAATGTACTTTAAAAAAGTGTAAAAGCACACTTTCTCAAGGAGCTCGTGAAAGCTGTAGATTGGTTCAAGTCTCAAGGTCACGCTACCGCAACCATGACGAGTCACCTGATGAGGGTGGAAGCAGCGGTGAGACAACATCCTGCCAAATGCCAGTTAGATCAGCCGAAATTTGAGAAGGGATGCCAAAAATCACAAAGAATTGTCAGAGCCACTGATGTTTCTCCTGGCACTCAAAGCAGATGCCGAGGTCGAACCGAAACTGCCACAGAATTGAGCTCAATATTGTAATTTACAAACAAAACTCAAACTTGATCTCGTTTAGCAGATGCGTAAATGCATCGAAACCTGAGTGGGTTCCCTGGTAAAAGTCATTTCATTTTGAAGTAAAACCTCGCTAGACATCCTGTACTTGATTAGCTTCACCTTTGCGTCGCGTTTTGCGTAAATTTAACTAGAAATTTCAGTGGTGCTCAATGGACACGCTAATGAGCAAAATTCTCGGTAGGCGTCAAACGATCGTCAAATGTGAGGGTAGAAAGCGTCTGGCTGAGTTGCTGGTCGCTCCACCTCCGACACAGTGTTCCCCTTGTCGCAGCATGTCGCCAGCCGTGCTGATCCTCAACTCCCCCCTCATTCACACGGATATTTATCTTGGATTATCCTCACATCTAGGTCTCGATGTTAGCGCATGTATGACTCACACATCCGGGGTATAAAAACACACGCGCAAACCCCACACACGACACAACGACACCAACGTGGTTGAGCTCTCAAGTAGACGGTTGTGTCCACGTCCTCTCCGGTCTTCTTTTTCTTCATCACGGGTATCAGGGAAGCGTAATCGGGCAAGGGCTGATTCCATGGCTCAGGCGTGGTTCAAGACCACATGCTGGGGCCCGCAACAAAGCACCTAAGGCAACGTTTAACAGCTCTATTTGGAACAACACAAGTAATCGGAACACTTGTCAGCATCAGCATAACACCGCGATTCGCTCTTCCAGTTCATTCCATCTTCAAGTCGTGGAGTGCTCACATTCCAGAATCCACGTGACAGGTGGAATTCGCGAGTTGGAATTACGGCGTTGAAGGCTTTTCCGCAGACAACACACGCCGTTCTCTCTCTCTCTCTCTCTCTCTCTCTGAACTTCACAAGCATGCCTCGTGCATCACGAATGAATCACATTTAATAACTGAGGCGGTGAGTGGTGGAATTGCGTTGCAACCGGAATCCAATTACGTTTGCAGAACACACATGACAAGAATTTCTAAATTAAGCACCACCACCGTTTCATCCGTGGTGCTAACAAGCACAGGTGGTGGTGGTGGTGGCGGTTACGTGAGCTCAACAGCGATGCCCTCTTGCATTCTATAAATAGAGATAATATCAAGGCGATTTACAAATGGTTTTATTCTATAAATAGATATCATCTCTGAGGGTTCTTGTAGATTGGATTAATTACATCACGGAGCACTGGTGCCTCTTGGATTTGCGACCCGGATTGATGGCTGCGCGAATGACGGTATCGAAGACGTTCTTGATGCCCTCTCCTGTCAACGCCGAACACTCCACGTAGGTGTACAAGTCGTTCTTCTTTGCCATTGAGTTGCCCTGTTGAGAGGTAGGATAGAAGCTGCATTAGTTACCGCGACACCCTCAGCCAGCAGACACACACAAGTGCACGAGCTAGGACTACCACTAGTCACATGTTGTGAGGTCTACTTGGATGGATTTTGCATTCAGAGTGCAGTGAGCCAATGGGATGAGTGCGCGCTCGATTCGAATGTGCGAGATGGCGTGCAGGAAATAACCACCAGTCGCAAAAGCATAGTAGCGTCACATATTCAACAGTTGACATCGCCTGCTACTGTGACTAAACACGAATTCACAAAATTGCGTACATGGAATCACTTGACGCATTCTACACACTTGAGCAATTCTGATTGGTTGGAAGACAAATTCAACTTTGGCTCGAACTCAACACAAATCCACCACTATTTGATCAATACAATCAATAAAGGGAAATGCCTAGATTACCCTAGATGGCGAGACAACTGGCGGTGATCCCGACACATTTGGTTGGCTGGCTTGTCGGCAGTCACATTTGGTTCCAACGAGGATGATTGCGGCGTCTGGACAGAAGTGACGCAGTTCAGGAATCCAGACTTTCTCAACATCGCACACGGACTTGAAGTCATCGATGGCGTAGCACACAAGAAAGACGTTTGTCTGGGGGTAGGACAACTGCCGCAATCTTTCGTATCGCTGGTGACCTTGCGTTAAGCAACAAAACAACACAGGCACGGCGATCAATTCTAGTACGCAAATTATTCACATATGGGCCTTAAATGAAATAGCACAATTGGCTACAATGTGTACAAGCGTCAATTGTTATAATGAATCACAGATCGGATGATACTTTTTACTATAAGTAGGATATGTGATATTAACGCCCGCGACATCAACGCCCCAGTAAATAGCAGCTGTTGGTGAAAATGATTGATTTAAGCAAACGACTACAGACAGAAGGCCAACTGCCTTAAATACCCCATGTTACTCCGTGATCGTCAAAAGCTTTACTTGAATAGAAGTGAGTAGCATACCTGAAGTATCCCAGACAGTTAGCCTAATGGGCGTTTCTGCAGCCATAACACGTAATGCGAAGGTGTTTGAAGCATCGGGTACGTAGGAGTTTATGTCAAACTCGGGTTCGTGCGTGTAGCGCATGATTAGCGAGGTTTTACCGACCGTGTCGTCTCCAACGACGACGCACTTGACTGCCACATCTACCATCTGATCCGAATCGAGCTGAAACCAAAGAATGAGCTGTCTGTGTGCCTCCGTGTATTTGATCCAACCGTACTGCTCGCAATCATCCAATCACAGGCAACCTATCGTCGACACGTTGATGCACAAACTGCCAATAATATCCAGGTGTAGAGGTGTCGCCACTTTGCTGGTAAAGTGTTTTCTTTTCGAAGTATGTCGATTGAAACACTGTTGTCAGTTAGTTTTTTTGCACAGTGGGCTTTGCAGTCTCACGATAGTCTATCTCAATTTCTGTGTACGCGTTTCCTGATTTCGTGATGATCATGTGTGTAACCTTATAAGCCCCTATCATGTGACTTATGCATTGTGAAACGTTTACAAACACACACGCCGAATCGTCGTTCGCAAAGAGTAGCCCAGAATTTACAAGACAAACTTCATTTTCGAAAAACAAGACCTCGTATTTTGGGAAAAAAAGCATCCAGTTATGGACCTTTTTAAGGTAGTAGCGACGATCACTTCACAGTGCTCCATTCAGAGAACACACTAAGTACGTGTGGTTTAAAAACGGGTCGAATCTTGCAAACACAACGATTTAATGACAACCATCTAGAGGTGACACGCATCTCCCTCCAATCGCACATCTCCCAAGTGGAAAGTATGTCGACAGAGGCGACTTTAAGAGCATTTGACTGGTCTAGCGCAAAACGGCGACCGCCTCAGGCGGATGTTTGAGCATTACTTCCACCTGTTGATGCATCCTTTCGCCACGATCGATAGAATTGAATCGATCGCACTGCGGGGCTTGAACAGTTGGATTAAGCTTCAGCCGGCTGAATGTCTTCGGCGATGTGACGGAGTAGAATGAAAATCATTTTTAATCCAAACCTTCATCGGTTCCTTGGATCCAAATTACGTCGAATGCGCTTAGTTCCATCGTGTTTCAAGGCTGTCATCATGGCGTAATCAAAGAACCATGTTTAAGCCCACCAGAAGTGCTATTTATAGCTCGGTACTCCAAGGAGACAATTTGTACAAGCGGTACACGCCCAGGAAATTTCGACTAACCCATCAACACATCCACCCTAATTCTCGCATCTGGACACTTATTCCCCTTGATCGCCTTGGCTCGCAAATCGCTTGCTTACTGAGGTGAAACGTACACGATTACCGAAGCATGCTCTGCACTTGGCCTGATTGGAGGAAATAAATGGAGATGTGGATAGGTCAAATTACCCTGGCACGCGTTTGATCGATTTAAACAACCGCGTCGGGCCTAGTCATGCACAGAAAAAATGACGCCATGAACAGGGCTGCGTCATCCTGAGGCGTGGGCGGATGCTGTGACATTCAGCTGTAGTGTCAATTTATCAACAAAAAAAAGCATTACGTGGGTCGTTGGGTGGTGCTTTACACTGACGCCGCCACGATATCGATTTGTCAAAATCCGAAGGTTTACTACATGACTCCGCGCACGCATATACGCAGGTCGAATGTGTACACAATTGCGCGATAATTACGAAACGCTGTTCTGCCCTAGGTGCGCATACAACAGGCTGACTGCATGAATTTTTTTAAAATTGCAAACTTGCTTCCTCCAATCAGTGGTCGAGTTGCCAATCTTCTTCTAATTGGCTGGCTACAATTCACAATGCGACCTATCCTGGGATTTTTGGCAGTGACCTTCAACGATTCTACCACAAATGAGCACACCTTCCTTTAAAGTGACATTTCCGGTTTTTTGAACACAGTTTCCATGTTAAAAACTGCTTTTTTCAGCTGCCTTCAAGTAAATCGCACTGAACTGAGTCGTTTCTACACAGTCCATTTGCACCAACCAATAAAAACGCCAATTTTTCGGCCCACATTCAAATTCGCAATCGAACAGCCAGGTGACGCGGTCACGAAATTTTGCACACACACACACACGGCAAGTGCTCTCGCATCCGTGCTATTGTGCGTGCGTGCGTGCGTGCGTGCGTGCACGCAACCAAAGTCACGTGACCCCGAATTCGGACGTCTCGATCGTCGGAGGGGTTGCGATGACTCATCTCGCGGCGCCCGCATTCACGTCCACACACATGCGCGTCGTCTGACCGCTAGACATCGCACATTTGCAGGAACACCTCAGAGCAACCGAAACCACGAGAATGGTGGCACAAGGCATCAGAGGGATTCCCTGTTCAGGGTCACGCTACTGGCAGGAGTGTCTAGAATTGCCTGTCAGTCTTCCACGTTGGGCACGGAGCTAGGATGGCCTCGAATCGGGTCGATTTGGGCTCAAATTGGTGTTCCGGTGACGGGAATATCCACTTGGAGTTCATTAGTGGTGGTTGGAAAGAATGTCACATCCCAATAGCTTACTGGTTTCTACGATGGGCTTGTGTAGAGAGAAGGCGTGATTTCCTCTATGCTAAACACAACAACTGAACTCTGACCCACGTACGTCTCTAAGACTAGAACCAAGATTCCATTAAAATATCAGGAAATGCCAATCGATAAAACCGATAAATGATTCCCCGCGTTGAGTCCCCAAACTAAGAGTCCACGTAGGCTGATCAGATTATTACAAAACAAATCGATATTGACTTCCACAAACAAAATTTGGGGTTAATTATATGAATATGCAGAACGCGATTATCCAAACGTTGTCTCAATTACCGGTTTAAGTTGATTTAATCGGTGCAATGTAATTCACTTTAACCGGTCGGCATATTACGTGAACATGGGATTCGCAAAACAAGCACAGAACGTTTGAAGTGGTTTTCATGGGTTGAGTGCGTGTGTGTGCGGCACACCTAGCTTATCGAACAGTTATACAACCACACACCGGATTACATGTGGCTATGGTCTAACCATTGTCGGAAGTGTTTGTTTGTGAACTCGATCCAACTACCAACTCTGTGTGTGTGTGTGTGTGATTTGTCTCTAAGGTAAGCTAGATAGTTAAACGGGTCAAAATTTCATTGAGAAATCGTTCGGCACTGTTAACGACGACTAGAGACTTCAGTTTTGGGGAATTTAGAATGCTTCTAGGCCAGCACAGATGAGAAAAACGGCAACTACCACCTTGTGACCGTGGATCAACAAAAACTCAAGTTGCCACACAACTAGACAGGTCGGTTTCTGTGTGGAATACGTTTGGTCGACTTGGAAGACGCTAGTCATAATTAGAGGTAAGAAAAATTGACCCCTGGACAGTTCTTGGCAGAACGCATTCGCCCAAAATCCACCAACCGTTTCATGGATCAACTTTGAAATGAGTCTCGATTCGAAGGGTTCACGGGGAAGGTAGACGAGGAAGGAACTCGAGGTGTGGATTCGCATGGCTCTGGAAAGTAATCTGATTGTGTTCGGCGATACCTGGTGGCGTCGTCTCCTCAAAGTCAGCTAGACTGCTTGAACATCACCAAACCCATCACAACATCCAACACCGTAGTCTCGACAAATAGAACTACAACCCAATTCCAAATGAACACCCTCTGTGACTGTGATCAGGAGCTGGCGACGTTCCCGGACGACAAAGTGAGGTCCTGCCAGCCAGCATACACGGAAACAGTGACTACACAACACCAGCCAATCAGAGTGAAGGGCCTGCGACGACGACCAACCACCCCGGACATTTGACGGATCCCCAATGCAGTACCTTGAGTTATTTTGAACCTAACTATGGCGAACCCACGGTCCACAACACAACCACACACATACTTAGTTGCATTTTCTTTAAGTCAGCAGACAAAAGAACACATCACTGTTGTCATTGAAGAGAGAGAGATAGAGAGATGAAAAACTGCGAGATGGAAGAGGGAATAGCGGGGTCGGGAGTGCGTGTGAGTGCAGCGGTAAACGACGGGAGGCACTCGGACGCGCACACAGCTGAAAATAGGCTGCGCGTCGGTTGCTTTAAAAAAAGGGGTGTGGTGGGTGGGAGGGTCAACAGCGGATAACCTAAGCGGAGAGTGGAAGGTGGGTGGAGAGGCACGCATACTGTACACGGCAGATGAGACAATGTGCTGGGTGTTGCTTGCTTCGATGATGCGAGAAAATCGATAATCAAGAGTGGGCGAAGAGGTGTCAGAGGGTCTTCTGGAAGCGCACACCTACGCAAACAGTCGTCGCGCGGATGGGTGGGGGATTCAAGGATAGGGAGGGGAAGTGGTTTAAGGTGGAAGTAACCGAGAGACGGCACAGGTTCACACAAGGCTGCACGTGCGTTTATTGAGCTTCGTGTGCGGAATAAGGACGGCTCTGATGGCCTCATCAAAGACCGCCTTGAGACCGGTTTGGGTAAGTGCGGAGCACTCCAAGTAGCGAATCGCATTGATCTCCTTCGACAACGCGAGACCCTACAACAAACAGCAGTCAATAAGCAAAATGGGGGGCTGATATTCGTGGATTGCAAAGCCACACGACCGTCGCGCGCTTTCACCTTTGGCAACAAGACACTATGCACCTAGACTCTCGCGAAAAGTGGGCAAACATCGGTGTTTGGCACATCTGGAAAGCGGTCTTAGGTCGCGATCGACAAATTCTCGGTATGACAGGCCCTAAGCGGGTCACAACGCTTACAAAAGTCACGCAGAATCGCGTGGCCGTTTTCGAATGAGTCACCTGCACAATGCGTGAAGCACACAGACGCCAGCACGCTGTTTGTCTTAGGTAGACAAAACCAACACGACATTGCAGCACGCGAGTTCTACCAGCACACGCGTAACTTGAAGTGTGCAGTGTGCGAGCTGACCTCATTTGCACAACGATTATCATCAGACTCTCCTCCCAGTAGAACCAGACGAGACAAACTGTGAAAAGAACGGCATTTAAGCGCCGGCATCCACTAAATGCCACTGACAATGCAAAAAGGTGCGTTTTGGCGGGGGGGAATGGCCGTCGACCCGGCAAAAAGCCACCCCACACACACACCAGGCGTAGATTTACAAAAGTTACACGCCCACAAACACACACAAATTACTCGTCCAGTGACCAGATGGAATATCGCGGACTAGGCCGATGGGACGGCCGGCCGGACACAACCACGGAACAGTGCTTACAATGCCACGCTGCCCTCCGCGTCGACCCCCCTTCTCTGCAGTGTAGATGGGTTGAGCTGTGTCCGATGACCTGGCCGACTAGGTGGACAGTTTCGGTTGCCGATGCGGTACAGGAGAAAGAAAACTCAGAATCCCCAATATTTTAAGGACTGCCTGTGTCCGATCACGCTGTTACAACTGAAAAGACGATCGCTATCCGACGAAGAAAAGGTCGATTTAGTTGGTGCGAAAAGCAAGTGGAGCAAAACGCCACGAGGTAATACCACACCGAAGGAAATTCGGACAGATGAGGATCGGGCGTGCCCGTCGGTATGTGAAGCACGAACACACTCGACTATTGTGAAAACGTCTTATCCGCGGTGCACGAACGCACGCGGCTCCAAGGCCTACTGAACGGAACAACAGAATTGTGTTTGGCTATCATGGAGAGACGCCAACTTAAAGGCCAATTGAAACCACGAAATGTGATTAACAGGGTTGAATAAGGTGCGACGTGTGGGCAGTTGAAATCGAGTACCATGTAGACCGCACCGCCTGCCCACACCGAAGTGGACGTTGCCAACAAATAGATTAAACATACCAAAGGTAGTACGAATGTGGTGGGAAACTAACTGGAATGTGGGAAACGACAGTGCGGACAAAACCACGTTAAAAGCAGCTCTGGAAGGTACACAGCCAATGGAAATCGCGTTAACTGTTTTGTCATAATAGGCATATCTAGTGCAAAAACTGAAATTCATCAAGATGGATATTCAGCGCCGATCCTAAAACAAGATCCTAAGCGGCCACATTTAGCCATCAGGTCGGATTTGGAAGAGTAAAATGAACACGAAAATGGCGCATTAGATTACAAATAAACGGAAGAAAAGGCTGCTAACCAGGCGAAGTTCAAGCGAAAGCAGAGCCAGTTAAAAATGACGTTTGTATAGGAATAAAAAAGAGGAGTCGACTACCTGAGGGTACGTTATGGGGGCCAGTTTGTGTGCCTTCAGCTTCTCCAGAGTTTCTCTGTCCTCACGTAGGTCCAGTTTAGTTCCAACAAGAATCACCGGGGTCTTGGGACAGTGGTGCCTAATCTCGGGTACCCACTTTGCTCGCACATTTTCAAAAGACGCAGGGCTCACCACAGAGAAGCATATCAAGAAGACGTCGGTCTGTGGGTACGAAAGTGGCCGCAATCTGTCGTAATCCTCTTGACCTAAAACACAACAAAAATCGTTTCAAATTTGTACAAATTAGTGTTGACGAGGTCACACAAACCATGCCGGCTTACAAGGGCCAGTTTCGAGCAATTCTAAGGTAATCATTAAAAGTACGAGAATACAAATTATTAAAAAAATAGAAACGTGGAAGCTTTCAAATTATTGCTGCGAAAATTGATATGCAGACATCGTAGAGGCTCAACATAAAGTTAAAAGCGTGATAATTACGACATAAATAAATAGAATCACACGACCGACTAACCAGCTGTATCCCAAAGTCCCAGATTTACCGGCTTCTTGTCAACCATAACATTCGCCGAATAATTATCGAAGACTGTCGGGATGTACTCGCCCGGGAAAGCATTTGATGTATAACTAATAAGCAAACACGTTTTCCCCACTGCGCCGTCTCCAACAACAACACACTTAATTGCTTGCATCTGTGACCTACTTAAAACTCTATTAAAAGGTAACGTAAAATAGAAATGATAAACAAACAATAAATAAAGCTTCGATAAAAAAGGCAAAACCGAAAACAACACGAAGAAGCCGCTGGTTCGACAATTATTGACTAAAACACAAGTGTCAATGTTAACATCCTAGTACATTTTGGTAATTTTGAGCAATCTGCGTGTTTTTACACAGATAAAAATTTAAATAAAATGTTTTTGAAGGTTTCATAAGCAAGTAGTATTTCTGCTGTGCATTGCAATGTGCATTTGAGATTGATTTGATCGATATATTTTAAACATTTTATTCTACAAAAAATCATTGTGCACATGGTATTAGAAATCACCATAAATTCGTATAATTAGAGTTAATTAGCTACGAGGATTTTGTTTTTGCGTATATGAATTGAAAATATTTGTTAGCTCACCATGACTCTTGATGTGTTTACCTTTAATAAGCGTGCAATTTTATGGGTTTTGATGTTTCTTTGTTGTCTGCCATTAACATGTCAAGAATAATATGCGAAATCCAATGAATTATATAGCATTCCTATTTTAGAGGTCAAGCAATTCTTTTGGAAAAAAATATCTGTAATTGTGATGAGAAACATAAATATTTTAGTCAAGAATTTATATGATTAGGAGTAATAGGAACATTAATTAAAGTAGATAGCATTAGACAACGTTTATGGTTTGGTCTTGACTTTATTATCTTTCAAAAAGGTGAAAATTTTATTTTAAGGTAAATGAGGTCGAATATATTGACGCTAATTAGGAGGTTGATGCATCCTACATTTAAAAAAAGCGCCGATAAATTCATTTTAGCCTAAAAAATAGTACAGCAAAACATAGAAAATATCTGTCTTAATTATATTGTTGGCTAATATATTTTTGTTGACAGGAAGAGAATTGTCTGCAAATGGATCCCAGAATAATATTTCTTCCAAAATATGAAGTGTTGTTTTACGAAAACTAATTATAACTTTTCAATTCTGGGCTATTCTTTGTGTGCAATCATTTGGTGCATGTGTTTGCTTTTATTCATTTCCAGCTGTCATGACAAACGTTTCACAATGCATAAGTCACATGATATAGGGTTATAAAGTTACACGGATAGTCATCTCGGAACCAAGAAGCACATATATGTATATTAATTGTGATAGATTGCAGGGTTTAATTTGCAAAAAATAAACAGACAGCAGTGTGTCAATTAGTATACTCCACGGTTTTGTGGGTGACGGCTCAAAAAATGCAAAGAGTGACAGTACTTGGTATTCCTACAAAGTCCGATCCAAAATTTTTAACAATTTCGCTCTCACTTCTCATGGTGTTAATCCGTGCGCATTTAATTTATCAAATACACTCACACACTCAAGGGTAAAAAATAGTGCTTTAAACTTTAAATAGCACCCTTAACCTAGATGACGGCAATGCAGTTAAAATAGATTTGACAGGTCAAGTTGGTGATTAGAGGTTGTCGTTAATTGGTGCACTTGTCAAGTAATTTCACGATTGCCACATTAAGGGTTCTTGAATGGATACACAGTGGTGACGATATTTCTCATAAAATTAATCAAATTTGCGCTATGATTGTCTTAATGAAGTCTTCTGTCAAAATCAAATTTTGTCCTGCGCTGTTATGCCACGAGGTCGCATTCTTTAAGCTGTCGTCATTTGTTCCTTTAATTATTCTAATAATACACTCACCGACTGTTCAATTTTATCGATCCTGGTGAGATGAACTCAACATGTTCGGAGTGATACTCAATCAATTTTGATTGGCTAGAGGAAGAGGATGATTTTTGGTCGATCCATGTCGTCAACAATGAATTCGGCGGAGGTCTAACATGGGCGACGCTTCGATTTGCAATTGCGAGTCCAAAATATGTTGTGCAAAACGCGGTTTCAGGAAGAATTCCGGTTTAAAATCCTTGCACGTGATTGGCCAGTCCTTCTTTAATTTTCCCTGATTTTGTTAATCAGTTTGCATTGTTTGCTGTTACGACGAAACTGCATTCTGTAAAATGCGACCAAGTGCTCAAATGTCACTACTAACCGCGTTATTTCTAAAGCGAACATGCGTAATTTTAAATTAACTGACGATCACAGTGACGGCATCTCCTCAGCCAATTGTCGCTGGACCTAGGTTTTCGACCGTGTTTAAATCAACTCTGCGGGTATGTTGCCATGTTCGATCTGTTCAAGCGACATCATCGGACGAATTTTGAGTAAGATGCACCCGAAGAGGTGTGGGGATGTAGACTGACATGGCACAAATTGACCAATTTAAGCACCTGTGCTATTGCTAGTGATCAGAGCGGCTCCAATTCAAGCGATAGATGCTCACATGTGTGTTCCTGTGGCATATTAGCATTGTCAGTTTAGAGCGGAATAGGCAGGACAGGACACCACGGGGTCAATTGTGGGTGAGCCTGTGTAATCGCTTAATGATTCTCTATCGGATTTCCACAACGCCGAAACAAAGACACTTAAGCAGCATTGTGACGACACCTCCACACCTTGAGATTATTGGCAGTTATCACATCAACGTGTTCCACCTCCGCAGCTGTGAGTTGATTGGATGATTGTGAGCAGTATGATTAGGTCAAATACACAGAGGTACTCAGACAGCGTATTCTCGCCAGCTGTGGCACCGTGTGCCGTGGAAGTGTTGGATTCACCTCGATTCGGATCAGATGGCTGAGGTGCCGATTAAATGTGTCGTCGTTGGAGACGAAGCGGTCGGCAAAACGTCTTTAATAATGCGTTACACGCACAAACTCGAGTTTGACATGAATCAATACGTGCCTACTATTGCGGATACCTACGCGTTGCGTGTTATGGCTGGACAAACGCCCGTTAAAATAACTGTCTGGGACACTGCAGGTATACTACTACTTACTTCAATTTAAGTAAACTTTTTGTTGATTATCACTACAGGCTTAGTCTCTGTGGCGTCGTGATTTTAAAATCTATTACTTGATTTATAAAGGTGATCTAGCTACACCGAACAAGTCCTCTTCATGATCTTGAAATGATTTTGCAGTTGCAAAAATCAAGTATCATCAGCATTCCACTCCAGTTATGCGGTTTGAACGTTGAGTTGAGACAAAAACCTGGCCGTCAACAAACCATCAAACCACTTTTAAGCACGAGGAACCTATCAAAGATCAAGGTACGATAGAGAACACCTCATCTGTGTCCTTCGCTCTACCTCTAGACAAACTTGACAAGGCGTAATCAAACACGTCCCAGAGCGATGTGGCAAATATTTAGATGCAATTGAAGTGCCAGTGGTGAAGTAGACTGAAGGTATGCAAGGTCCTGATAATCAAACGGTAGAGAGAGGGAGAGTAAGGCTATTCGCACGACTACAGCAATCAATTATACGATTAACTGCCAGGCTCTGTCATTTGTAACCGTGCCTGTGTTGTTTTTTTGCTTAACGCAAGGTCACCAGCGATACGAAAGATTGCGGCAATTGTCCTACCCCCAGACAAACGTCTTTCTTGTGTGCTACGCCATCGATGACTTCAAGTCCGTGTGCGATGTTGAAAAAGTCTGGATTCCTGAACTGCGTCACTTCTGTCCAGACGCCGCAATCATCCTCGTTGGAACCAAATGTGACTGCCGACA